ACTAACGCGTTCCTGATTTTGGCATAACTAGTTACCGTGCTCGTTACCACAATAATAACGTAGTTACTGTAACGCGTTACTTAATAACGCGTTAGTCCCAACACTGGTCTTGCCTAATAAGTTCCAGCTATGTGTCCACCTGTTCCTCATTTCCTCATCTTCCTGCTAGTGTATTTTAGCCCCTGTCAGTCAGTACTTGTCGCTGCGTCCTCCACGTTAGTTGTGTGTGTATCCCTCGTCTTCTGTCGTCAGGTTATGTCATGCCACGCCATGCATTCCCAGTCTAGTTAAGCAATCCTTGTTTGAGTGTTTTTGTATTGCCAAGTTTGTGTTTCCAGCAAATAAAGCTGCCGTCTTAAGTTAATATTTTGTCTCGGGGGGCCTGCACTTGGGTCCAGCCACTGCCAGCCACACAGCTAATCGTGACACTTTTACTTTTCAAATCTCAAATACAGAGCAAAAAGATCACAATGAGTATTTGTGATACAAAAAGAAATGTTCAGTTTGACCTGGATTCAAAACTGCATCGAGCTAATCAATGCACAAACGTATTTTAATCTAAGTAGCCTATGTCAGAATCCCCATGCAGAACTGTTCTGACGCACATGCTTTTCATTGTGCATTTCTATTCTAAGGAATTTTTAGTTGTTTTTGCAATTTGCTGACTATCTCAAAGCACACAGGTAAAGAAACCAAACACAAGTTCTTCTGAGGGTGGGAAGAACAGAAGATAAGAAATATGAAGTGAACCCCTTCCTCTGTCTTTAGCTCTCTTGTAACATCCTGACCAAAACCACTGTTCTGTGTGAAAAGCAAAAGTTTTGGAGATGGCAAATCATTTGATATTCAGAAGAGAGAGTTTGGATTGGGTTTTACTTCAGTGGTGTCACCTGCTTTGACCCCTCTCCAGAGGATCTGTCTAAACTCTACAGGATGCTGCACAGTGTCACATCATACTTCCATCCCCTTCCCTCAGCGCAGCTGCCTTATACATCTCGCACACTGAGGTTAAAGCATAGTTTGAAGGTATGTAGGTTAGTTTTATTTCTCTGAGAAGAGTCCTTCACTGTGAAGATCAGTCCTGAATGTCTCTCTTGGGATAGAAAATTAGTCTTTCAGAGTTATTTCTAATACAGATGGGTGAAATTCCTCAAGTTTATGGAGTGGAAGTTGAAATAATGCCAAAGCACTTACAAGTGAGTGTTTATCCTGCTGCCTGAAGGTTAAGAACCTATACTTTACTGAAAACATTTTTCTGCTTTTATGCTACTCAGCACCCATCAAGAAGTACTTGATGTGGTTTGATGTAGATAGCTACTGTTTCATATGATTGAAGTCTATTTTAGTGATTTGTTTTTGATGTTAAAGTCACTAACAGTGCGTCACCACGTTGACCTTTGTGTTCTCCATTAGTTCTATAACTGAGTTCAACCATCTGTCCTTTTTTAGCCCGCCTCCCACTAAACACCGATATCTACTGATCTCCCACATCATGCTGATGCTGATGCTGATGCACGCTTTGTTTTTCTTTGTGAGTCACAGTGAGACACTCTGTGTTTGATATATTAAAAGTTAATCTCTGTGTCTGGTTGGAAAATGAAAGCAAGAAGTTCTAAAGACTAATTTCTGTAATTAGAAATATAAAGTTCCTAAGTAATAAGACATGCACGATCCTTCCTACACCACAGCCCTCATTTGAAGTTAATTAAAGTTGGAAAACACTGTGGGGATAATTTTGTATATATTTATTGTTCTGTGCCCCAGAAATAATTTGTTTACTCTTACATTATTGAAAGCAGAGCTAACACTTTTCAAACTAGAATCTTTTTCATGTAGGCTGAAAACTTAGGATGTGAAGTTTTCAAATTATTGCCAATGCTCTAGCAATCAGCTGAAAAGCAGAAGATTATTAATGATATTTTTGATAACTGAAATTCTGGAGACGTCAGTAAACTGGTAAAACAAATAAGGTGGGTTTCAAATATCCAGCTAGTTCAGGCTGGGTACTTGAGCTTCACTCTGTCACACAGAGGCAACACAACTCACTCGCTCTGCAGACTCACACATGTCTGCAGTGATGTGGACAATGTACGACTCTCTTGTGGTAAAGGTACAGCTGAGAGTGAAAGCAAAGCTGTCAGTTTGCCAGTTAATCTACGCTTACCTATAGCCGCAAGCTATGAATAGTGACTGAAAGGATGATATTGTGGATGCAAGCAGCAGAAGCAAACTTCATCCCTTAGAGCTGTTTCATTTAAGAGGTAGTTTAAATAAAGCCACTACTCCTCCACAGTGGAAGAAGCTAGTTAAGGTGGTTTGGGCATTTAGCTGTGATGTCTTCAGGATGGCTCATAAGTGAGGTGTTCAGGCATGTCCAGCTAGGAGGACACCCTGGGCATCGCTGCTCAAACCCCTACCCTTCCGAGCTGGACCCGGGTAAGAGAAAGAAAATGAATGGATAGATACTGTAGGTTGATGGGTTCATTCCAAAGGCTGATCTCGTTGCGCAGGAGTAAAAAGTTTAAGTTTGAGCTCCAGTGACCTTTGATACCTCAGAACAGCAGTCACCAACCTTTCTTGCGCCACGGACCGGTTTATGTCCAACAATATTTTCACGGACCAGCCTTTAAGGTGTCGCGGATAAATACAACAAAATAAAACCAGTACCGGTACCAAAAAACCAGAAGATTTATTCATAACACACGGGAAAAGACCCAGGGAAACAGAGTTAATGATAAAAACAATAAAAATATAATGTGAAACCCATACATTTCACACCCGAGCCTCAACTCTCGCGGCCCAGTACCGAACGACTCACAGACCGGTACCGCTCCGTGGCCCGGGGGTTGGGGACCGCTGCCTCAGAATGATGATAAAATATGCAATATGAGTTTAAAATTTTGTGTCAGTTGACTTTTTTTTTTATTATTATAAAGTCATATATTTCATGTATTTATGACAGCAATAAGATGTTGTTGCACTATTCTATAACCTCTTTAACTCTTTTAATGTTTAATTTGAACAGCACTCTAAATCCTCGCCTATTTATTTTTGTCCTGTCTGCCAGAGGTGTCAGCCAGCTTCAAGCCTGGAACATCAGTCAGCTACACCTTCAAGGAGCCCTATGAGCTGAGCAGGAACAGCAGCGCTCTGCCGTCCTCCATCTACTCTGAGATGACACTGAGAGCAGAGAACATCTCTTTGAGCTTCAGGACGAACCAGAGTCCAGCTCTGCTGCTCTACGTCAGCTCCTACTACAGAGAATACCTGGCTGTGCTCATCAACAAGCATGGTAAGAGGGGCACAGGCCTCCTACGCTTGTTTGTCTTTTCTTCTTTTCCTTTTAATGATCTCATCTCCTTTCTTCCCTTATCCTCCTCCTTAAGTTAATTGAGAGGTGTCTTGATCCTCCTTGTACACTGTTCTTCTCAGTCTTACCCCTGCTAACTCCACTTTTAGTTTTCCCAACTTTAAAGTTTTGAAACCTCAGAAACTTTTAATGCCAGCCCTCATTTTTCTCCCTAAACTTTGTCTAGTTATATTTTTTAAATTTGCTTCTCCTCCCTGATGCTCCTCTCGTTTCTCTTCTCCTCTCCTTTTATTCCCTCCTGTTCTCTCCTATTCATTCCTAACAACTTTTCCTGATTTTGACCTCGTTTCCTGCTCTCCATCATCAAAATCTGTCAGATCACTCCTCTCTCTGGATTTGCCTCGTCAGCCTTTAGCATTTTCTATACAGCCAGCTTTGCCAGCTATTAGGTTTTGTCTCAAGTTAAGAATAAAGTGTTTTCTGGACTTATCTCTGAGACCCAATGAGTGAGACTGCAGGAATAAGGATTAGGTCGGCCGATAATAGGAGGCAGGTCAGCGCACTTCTGAATAAAAGAGCTGGAAACATGCTGAAGTGTTTTCTTAGCTTCTGTGTGAAATAATTGTGTTGTGAGTTTGACTTTTAAGAGTGGTACGAGGCACTTTGAGTTGAAAATTACATTTTCAGCATCCAGGAATCTAATAAAATTGGCACTTTGCTGCTAGATTAGTTGTAAATGGATTTTTTCTGGTGTTAATGACTCAGAGAAAGCTGATGGACAGCAGGGCATTAAGATTTGCTGCTGACCGTGGAGTCGTCAGGTAAATGCTCTTAAAATGAAGCGTCCAATTAAATCCCTGAGAGCTTTCTCTTGTTTGCCCTAAGATGGCTCATTTCTTTTCATCCTTGACTGCAGTTAAACCCTCTCAGCCCGAGCACTACTGCTTCACTTAGGGCCCTTTTTCGTTTTTTAAAGAATAAATTTATTGTTATTAGAGCAGTAGCTGGTACGTGGTACGTCTTTAATATTTCCCCTTCTCCTCAGCACCTCAAAAAGAAGATATTGAATTGTAATTTTAACCTTGTGATATGATTTATTCACTTTGATTTATGGAAATATTGCAGATGTGAGGGGAAAAAAAACTTTCGTTTTTAAAAACAATCTTTAATCTTCACTCTTTTGATAAATCTCCAATTAATATGCTTGACTATTAGGGGAATTAATTGGATTAGCTCTGTTATTGATGGGGAATTAGCGCTTATCCTCTTAATATGCAAATCTCAATTAATAGAACAACAACTTCTTCAAAACATTCAGATCCATATATGAAGGATTAAATGTATGTTTGCCCTGCTGGTGAAGATTATACAACGTAGCAAAGCCTAATTTTCAGGAAAAGACCAAACTTAATGCTGATGATCTCAAATCCTTCTTCTGTGAAAGTGTAGAAATGTTACTTCTTTCATATATCTGAGTTGTAACACTATTATTTGATGAGTATGTGTGTGTGTCTGTTATGTATGAAGATAAGCTGGAGGTGAGATACAAGCTGGACAGCAGCAGAGATGCTGAAGTGTTAAGGAGCAGCGTGAGGAACGTGGCCAATGGACAGCTTCACACCGTTACCATCAAGAGGCTGACAGACTCTGTGTCTGTGCAGGTAAAAACACCTCATCAGCTCATGAAATCACTGCAAGTTTGCAAATTGGCAAAGTACAACGAAATCCAGCTCGCACAAAGGCGTCGGTATTGTTTTAGGTAAAAAAAAACCAAGTCCAGCGTTTAATGCAAATTTGCGAGGTTGTTGTTTTCTTACATTGGAGGAACAAAAGACAGATTAGCAGCACACAAATGATCCTGTTTGCAGAGTTAATGTGAGTGACAACAGCAACACATTCCAATAGAAACCTTTGGCCACATCCCTACCACCTTCGCTTCATAACCCTTAAAGAGTCTACAAACTGATGTTTCATTATTGTGGATGTCATAAGGTTTGGCACACAACATCATGTTTTATTCACTGTTTGCAGACTGTTGTAAAGCTGATATCTACTATAGAATTTCAGTGCATGGCAGCAATCCCGAGGGCGTTTCTCTCCATATTACTTGCTCCTTTGCACTGTCATTATCACACCAGAAAACACATCATACAAACAAGCTTCTGCTGCCACAGCTCGACAAGAGTTTCTTCTTTGCTGGAAACATTTAGTTTGCATGTTTGAACCACACACTGAGAATCATTTTATTTTGTATTTCCAGAATGATTAGCAGGTGTGGCTCGTAACAGTCACAGCAGTCTCATTGTGAGATAGGTGTAGTGATTCTTCTGACACTTCCAGAATTTAGCCTGATGCAACAGGTTATGTTGTTATGATGTTGCTATGTTGTTATGATGTTGCATCAAATACAATATCCTAATTGTGATTATCCAGTAACCAGTATCGTTACCAGTAATGTAATGGTGCTTGAGCCACTTGCTAAAATTATTCCATAAATAATGCAAAGTCATGCATCACTGTGTCGTAAAACCTGCTCCTTTTATGTCGATGATGTGCTTTTGTACACGCAGATAAAGAAGATGAGGTGCAAAGCTACTTAAGATAAACTTTTTTTGTTCCATGTCT